GGAGGAAGAGGAGAAGAAGAAGAAGAAGAAGAAGAAGAAGAAGAAGATGAAGAAGAAGAAAGCATCATCTCGTGAGAATATTTCACAAAGTATCAGTTTTGAAGCAGCTGGCCGAGTAGAACTTCCACTTTACCAATGAAGGAATAGGATATATATATATATATATATATATATATATATATATATATATATATATATATATATTCTACAGGAGAATGTTGAGAATACCATGGTCTGAGTAACGAAGAAGTTTTTAGGAGAACAGAAACAAAAATAAAGTTTCGAAAGAAGACAGTTGAAATGTTTGGAGATAAAATGGGAAAGAGGTGTTGGGGACTTTGACACTCACAAGATATATTAATATCAATAAGAACTGAGGCAATTAACATTAAATAAAAACACTAACTGGGCTATCAAAAGTGCCATTGTACGTAGATGACAGATTAGGGACTGGAAGAGATAGAAAAATGACAAACCTTGTTCATAGCTACAAAGGATGGGAAGATATGGAGAGCCATGATCGCCTACGTCTTTAAACGACATACCACAAAGAAGGGGAAAGAAAATACTTAGTTTAATTCGTTTTTGTCAGAGTTACTCTTATTTAAAAACGACTATCGAACACGATAAAGGACAAAGTCATTGTTGGAAAGCTTGGAACTTTTCAGCTGTTACTGACCCGGGCCACACAAACTGAATATATCTGCGCACATGACAGATCAGGTCAATTGCAGGGCTCTTTTCCCGAATGAAATCGTTTAAAGCCACAGGTTGAATTCCTGCTATGAATTAAATTTGCGACTATTTTTGACGTGTCCCTAAGTTCTTGACAGTCGTAACAATTCGAATTATCCTAAGGGCGACGTTTACAGTCCACCTTGTAGGCGAAAGATGGTCTTTTAAATGATCCCTGGTCAGGTTCGTCTCGTCGGTCGTTGGGACATAAACATGCGAAATAAAATGGTACGGGTTGGTGTCAACAAAAGGCTGTTACAAATGACATTGAATGAAAGGAAAAGGAGGGGAAAAGGAGGGGAAAAGGAAAGGACGAAGACGGGAACGAATGAAAAGGAGGGGAAAAAATTAAAAATATTTTCAAGTAAGAATAGAGGAGAAAAAATAGGTAAGTATAAAAGAAAAGTATGAATCAAAAGAAAAAGGCCAAATTAAATACAAGAGAGAGAGAAAGAGAGAGAGAGAGAGAAAAAGAGAGACGAACAGAAGGAAGAGAGAGAAAGAAAATTGTTAAAAATAGTGAAAAATATATGCAAAGAAAAAGAATGTAGTTTGGTTTGAAAGAAAGAAAGAAAGAAAGAAAGAAAGAAAGAAAGAAAGAAAGAAAGAAAGAAAGACTGGATGATTTGACAAAAACAAAGGAAGGAAGGAAGGAAGGAAGGAAGGAAGGAAGGAAGGAAGGCTAGAAGGAAGAAAGAGTAAGTGAAAGTAAAGAAAGAAGGGAAAGTGAGAGGAAGGAAAGGAGAGTTAATAGAAGAAATGAACGAATGAATAGGAAGGAAGGAAGGGTGTGTTAATGGAAGGAAGGAAGAAAAGAAGGAAGGTAGAAGGAGTGAATGGAAGGAAAGATGAAATAGGAAGGAAGGAAGGAAGGAAAGAAGGAAGGAAGGAAGGAAAGAAGGAAGGAAGGAAAGAAGGATGAAGGAAAGATAGAAATATTAGTCGAAGGAAGTGAGGGGAAGGAAGGAGGAAGGGAAGAGTGGGTGCAAGGAATGAAGTAATAGCGGGTTGAAGGAAGGAAGAAAGGAGAGAAAAAAATGAAGAGTGATGAAAGGAAGGAAGGAAGGAAGGAAGGAAGGAAGGATGAGTGAGTGGAAGGAAGGAAGGAAGGAAGGAATAGTGGGTTGAAGGAGGGAGGGAAGGAAGGAAGGAAGGAATAGTGGGTTGAAGGAGGGAGGGAAGGAAGGAAGGAAGGAAGTGGGAATGAATGAAGAGGATCAGAGGAAGGAAGGAAGGAAGGAAGGAAGGAAGGAAGGAAGGAAGGAAGAGTGAATGAGGGGAAGGAAGAAAGAGGAGGCAAGAAAAGAAATAATAGCGGGTTGAAGGAAGGAAGAAAGGAGAGAAAAAATGAAGAGTGATGAAAGGAAGGAAGGAAGGAAGGAAGGAAGGAAGGAAGGAAGGAAGGAAGGAAGGAAGGAAAGGGGGCAGATTGAATGAGGGGAAGGAAGGACGACTGAATGGAAGGGAGGAAGTAATAGGGAGTTGAAGGAAGGAAAGAATGAAGGAGGGAAAAAGAGTAATGAGATGAAGGAAGGAAGGAAAAGCTGGAATCTGAATGAAAAACTAACGCTTTAGAGTGAGTTTTGTGAAATAAAATATATTTTAAAACAATAAATATAGATTATTTTTTTCTTTTAACTTAATTTTTTTGTTTTATCTATTTTAAGCAGTTGCTTTCTAAAAAGAAAGCGAAAGGTTTCTTAGCTTAATATGGAAGACATCAAGGTCGAAAAGGGGGCTGAAGTGGTAAGAAAACAGAGACAGGGAGACAGACAGACAGGGGAGAGAGAGAGAGAGAGAAAGAGAGTGGGGGGGGTCGAGTGGATTGAAACAGGAAAGAGCGGCAAATGGATTTGTCGTTTTTCGCAGACGTCTTAGATTGGCGTCAAGTGTGGAAAAATAGGGAAGACGAAACTGCAGAGAAGAAGTAAATAGTCATTTCTCTTCAGTTAATTAATGCACTTTGACTTTAGGATAACTTATAAACATTTAATGATCGAAAATTACCAAGAAAACGATCAAAGCAGATTTGAAAATGAATATAGACGGTTCAAGTGGAAAACAAAGCAAAATATTTCCATGATATTCCCTCATAAGACCACTCCCCTGAGAACTGATGTTGATTTAAGGGTCCCCGCTAAACATCCGACAATCTTTAGTTTTCAAAATAACTGCGGAATTTCCACGGGTAATTAGTTGGCTGAGTTTAAAGACATATCAATCCGTGTTTTGTTATATAATGTCCTAAGATTCAGTCAAAGGCTAAACATCGGTCCAATTTAAACTTGAGTGAAAAGTGTTATGAATAACCAAGAGTGGTCTCCCTTTGTTTTGTTACTCTCCTCTTTGAGAGACCTATTTCTGTTTACTGGGACTATAAAAGGACACTATACACGAACCTTGTATTCTCAGTTGAATAAAGCTTTCTTAAAACTTCGTTCCAATTTAAACTTGAGAGAAAAGTGTTATGAATAATCACGTGTGGTCTCCGCTTGTTTTGTTACTCTCCTCTTTGAGAGATCTATTTGTGTTTACTGGGACTATAAAAGGACACTATACATGAACCTCGTATTCTCAGTTGAATAAAGCTTTCTTAAAGCCTAAGCCTGCGTAATTTTGTCATCAAAAGATAAACACTGGTTCGCTTTGTAGTTGAGTGAAAGGTAAACATTCTGGAGTTTAAAATGAAGAGAAAAGAAAAATTGAAAGGCGTTAATCTTGTGAGAAAATGTAAACACCATCCAGTTTAAACTTGAGTGAAATGGTAAACAGTGGTAAATGGTAAAATTTAGTTCGGTTTAAACTTGAATGAAAAAGTAAAAAATGGTTTAAACTTAAGAGAAAAATGGTCCATTGTAAGTTTGAGAAGATAGGTAAACACTGGTCCGGTTTAGTTTTGGGAAAAGGTAAACTTTTGTTCGTTTTAAACTTGAGGGAAAAGGTAAACACTGGTCCGGGTTAACCTTGAGAGGAAAGGTAAACACTGGTCCGGTTTAGTTGCGGGAAAAGGTAAACTTTTGTTCGTTTTAAACTTGAGGGAAGAGGTAAACACTGGTCCGGTTTAACCTTGAGAGGAAAGGTAAACACAGGTCGGGTTTAGTTGCGGGAAAAGGTAAACTTTTGTTCGTTTTAAACTTGAGCGAAAAGGTAAACACTGGTCCGGTTTAACTTTGAGAGGAAAGGTAAACACTGGCCCGGTTTAGTTGCGGGAAAAGGTAAACTTTTGTTCGTTTTAAACTTGAGAGAAGAGGTAAACACTGGTCCGGTTTAACCTTGAGAGGAAAGGTAAACACTGGTCCGGTTTAGTTTTGGGAAAAGGTAAACTTTTGTTCGCTTTAAACTTGAGGGAAAAGGTAAAAACTCTGGTCCGGTTTAACCTTGAGAGGAAAGGTAAACACTGGTCCGGTTTAGTTGCGGGAAAAGGAAAAACTTTTGTTCGTTTTAAACTTATGAAAAGGTAAACACTGGTCCGGTTTAACCTTGAGAGGAAAGGTAAACACTGGTCCGGTTTAGCTGGGGAAAAGGTAAAACTTTGTTCGTTTTAAAACTTGAGTGAAAAGGTAAAACACTGGTCCGGTTTAACCTTGAGAGGAAAGGTAAACACTGGGCCGGTTTAGTTTTGGGAAAAGGTAAATTTTGTTCGTTTTAAACTTGAGTGAAAAGGTAAACACTGGTCCGGTGTAACCTTGAGAGCAAAGGTAAACACTGGTCCGGTTTAGTTGCGGGAAAAGGTAAACTTTTGTTCGTTTTAAACTTGAGTGAAAAGGTAAACACTGGTCCGGTTTAACCTTTGAGAGGAAAGGTAAACACTGGTCCGGTTTAGTTGCGGGAAAAGGTAAACTTTTGTTCGTTTTAAACTTGAGTGAAAAGGTAAACATTGGTCCGGTTTAACCTTTGAGAGGAAAGGTAAACACTGGTCCGGTTTAGTTGCGGGAAAAGGTAAACTTTACTTCGGTTTAAACTTGAATAAAAAGGTAAACACTGGTCCGGTTTATATTTGAATAAAAGAGGAAACATTGGGCTACTTAATATATGAGTGAACTTGTAAACATTTCTCCGGTTTTATATGAAAATATCAATTATGCTAAACAGGAAACAGTAAAGTGTTAAGATGGCGACTTTCATTCCTTAAAAGTTTCAAGGTTGTCCTATATTAAATTTCTTATGAATCTTAATTTTTAAGTTAATGATTGAAAAAGCTCATGACGAGTTCTACGACAACAATCTTATCGTTAAATATTTGAGCTTAACAAGGTTAATGCAATATTGCAATAACAATCATAAATATGAATGCTGGTCTTTATTTTAAGAAATAAGGGGGTACAAATGAAAAAATTTGAAAATTGGCAACTTTTTCCATTTCACTGAAACAGACGTTAAGGAGGTAAAAATTAAAAAGATTTGAAAATCGCCAACTTTTTCCATTTTACTTTAATTTTTCTGAAACTAAGTAGCGTCTTTGATATTCGTTTTGTTTTGTTTTACGGCATATCATATTTAATGCCGACAAAATTGTTATTGTTGGTAATATTTTTTTCAAAGATCTATTTCTGGTAATATTTTTTCCTTGAAAAAATCTATTTCTGGTAATATTTTTTCCTTGAAAAAATCTATTTCTGGTAATATTTTTTCTTCTAAAATCTGTTTCTGGTAATAATTTTCCTTCAAATATGTATAGCTGGTAATTTTTTTTCAACAATGTATTGCTAGTAATATTTTCTTTTTCAAAAATGTTTTGCTGGTATTAAAACCTATTTTCACACGTTTTGACCCCAGTTTGGTGGGGGGGGTAACTATTTGCCCATAGCTGGGAACCTGACAGGTGCTACCACCTCGGGTCAGAGTGGACCTGGGAATACCAGCAATTAAGAGGTGCTTCCACGCTCCTCAAAGCCTCCTGATCAGATCTATCTATCCTCTATCCCTTGCAGCTCTCAACAAGTTCCTTTCCTCTGCTTCCTCCCCCAGACCACGTTCTCTCATCCACTTCCTTAAGCCTGCCAGGTATGTCACGCGTTGTTTTCCTTTGTCTCACTTTCCCTATCTTCGACTCTTGAGTATCAGATTCTCCAAGCCCTCCTTTCTCATTATGTGTCACAGAAACTTCAGCTAATGTTAAGTATAAGTCTCCTCCTTGTTTGCATCCTCATCGTTGCTACCACGCTCGGTCTATGTTATCCTTAGCATCCTTCTGTAGAACCATACCTCCTTTACTTCGAGTCTCTTCTTCATCTTTGAGGAGACCGTCCAACATTCGCTGCCGTAAAGAAGGACAGATGTCATGTAACAGATCAGTATTCTTTTCTTTGTTACCCAAGAAATCCTCCTGTTTCGCAATACTCCATCGGGACCAAAAACTTCGGAGCCACCTATTCGACTCGTGAGTATCAGATTCTCCAGGTCCTCCTTCCTCATTATGTGTTCCAGAAACTTCAGGTGGTCTATTCCTGATGTTAAGTATAAGCCTCCTCCTTGTTTTCATCTTCTCCAAAACCTCATCGTTGCTCACACGCTCGGTCCATGATATCCTTAGCATCCTTCTGTAGAACCATACCTCCTTTGCCTCGAGTCTCTTCTTCATCTTTGAAGAAATCATCCAATATTCGCTGCCGTAAAGAAGAACAGATATCACGTAACAACTCAGTATTCTTTTCTTTGTTACCCAAGAAATCCTCCTGTTTCGCAATACGCCATAGGGACCCAAAAAAAATCTTTCGATACATGACTGAAGAGGCATTTTTTTTCCGCAGTAAGTTTCCATTTCTTTCCGCGATAGACCAGTTGCCATCCAGGGCTATAGAATCCTGTCTGTCCTGCTATTTACTCATAGCTTGAAAGAAGAGGATTCATCCATTTCCCAAGGGTATTAATACATGAAGGAATGTAATGGATTCAGTAAGTTATGTGCCATGCATGATACACGCTTAGGCGATCGTATCTTTCGACACATGACTGTAGAGGCAGTAGGTGGACATTTCTTTCTGTGGTAGATCAGTTGCCATCCCACCCGGTCTGTCCTGCTATTTACCCATAGAAGAAGAGGATTCATTCTTTTTCCAAGGGTACTAGCACGTAAGTGAATGTAAGGGATTCGACTTGAATTCGAACTCGGCCCTTCTCTATACGCTCTCTATTTCTCCACCGCACCTCCTAGTTATTTGCTCCTTTGAATAGTAAGTCTGATCGGTTTGATACTTAAATTGGCAGGTAATCTAAAAAATGACCTACAATCTTTTGTTAAATGGGGCAAGGATTTGCTTGTTGTATTTTAACGCCTTTTAACAAAACTGCTCTCATTGAATTGAGACTTCTTTTTTGCCCTCCATCAACATGGCTGTTGTTAACCTCCAGGAGATTGATTCATTACGCTCTCTCGGACTATCATTTTTTTAGCTGACATGAAGTTGAATGAACATATTGAGTCAATTGCTAAGTTTACAGTTAAGAAAGTTGGTTCGCTATCTATAAGTCGACCATTCGTCCATGCTTACAATATTGCTGCCATATCTTGTCTAGAGCTCCTGCTATGTATTTAGATATACTTGATAAAATCCAAAGAAGAATCTGCAAGGTCTCTTCAGTTGAAATGGCTAGATGTAACCGGAAGTTCTATGTTAATAGTTGATTTTCTCCCACTTCTCGCTTGTGGAACTCTTTTCGTAGGCAACATTGAATTTCAAAAATTTAATAGCAATTCGTGACTTGTTAATTTTAACGCCTCAAAAACGAATCTGCTCTTTTTAATCATCTGAAAGAATCCTTTTTACTTTCCATCAATATGGCTGATGCTAACCTCCAGGGGAGTCACTCATCGCGCCTTTTTCGGACAAACGTTTTCCTCTGACATGAAGTGGAAAGATTATATTGAACCAATTGCTAAGTTTGCAGCTAAGAAAGTTGGTATATAGTTCTAGATAGTTTTCCTTGGTCAGAATTTATCCGACATATTTATAAGTCTACCATTCGTCCATGCTTTGAATATTTCTGCCATATCTTGTCTAGGGCTCCTGTAATTTATTTAGAGATTCTTGATAAAATCTAAAGAAGAATCAGTCCTCCCCCACCCCGATGTGATGTAGCTTCCCTGTGCCTTTTCTCTAAATACTCACAATAATATTCTTCTTCAACTTTCGCTTATGGTACCACGACTTTTGGCTGAAAGGTCTTATCAGTTTAGATTTGAAATGCCTAGATGCAACCGTAAGTTCTGTGCAAGGAGTTTCTTCTATCGTTCTTCTCGCCTGTGGAACTCTTTCGGCTTCTTACTTCCCAGGCCACTTTGCTCTTCAAACATTTAAATGCAATGTCAATATCGTTATATTCTGTTTAATTCTCATTCTTTTATTGTGTTCTCTCCTTAATAGTAGTTTATCTCTTATTCTCAGTAGTTTCTGGTCTCCTAGTGGCTTTATTGCCTTGCTTGGGGTTGAAGTGATTAAAAAAAATGAATCAATTCCTCCCAAGCAAGGCGATAAAGCCAATAAGACGCTAGGGGCTACTGGAACTGGTACTGACAGAAAAAAGGAAAAGATTTTAGAAGGAACTCTGAAAACCATTTCTAAACAGGAAACAAGGAACAAAACTGTACTCCTGTTTTAAAAAAAAATACACAAAAATAATTAACACATATATTATTTATATATTCTTGTTTTAACATATATATCTACAGGGTGGTCCGAAAGTCTTGTCACTCACTACCAAAAAGTAAGGAGGACAATACAAGAAAAATACAGTAATACAAAACACATATACTGGATACAGTTTATTAACTTCCATCAAGAACAAAAATGATTGGGTGCCTTGTCCTGTGTGATATTTTACGAAACTGTGGTTTGTTGACTGTTGTAAAGGTTCTCTGAACGGCGTCCTTTAGCTGATGGGTAATCGTTCATGTGAAATTCTCCCTTTATAATACCCCACAGAGCGTTGAAATAAAAAAAAAATATATATATGGGGTGACACGACTTTCGGACCACGCTGTACATAAAATTGCTCTAATTCTAATTCATTTAAAAAGTTTTTTTTTTTTGTTATTTTTATCAGATACTAGCAAGTAGAGCCCGGCGTTGCCCGGGGATGTAACAGTAAGAGATAGATCAAGTATCGACCATCATAAAGACTGAAAAATAAAATTGACAAAGATTATTGTTTAAGGTTGACGGACACGCATGTCTTAATTAGTTTTTTTTTTTTTTTTTTTTTTTTACGAATTGGTCAAACCCAAACTCAAACAAACATATTGTTTTCAATCGTTATGAGTCTACCGATTGAATAGAATTTTATTATAAACAATTGTCTTGTAAATGGAATTTTTAAAGCATTTTTTGAATGTAAAAATAAAAAAAGTGTGCTAGACAACAAGAAACACTACCTGCCAAAAAAAAGTGAAGTTTTTGTTGAAATCGGTTGAAAAATGTAGGAAATCCGATCCCATATATAAAACGAACACACACACGCACAAACAACCTGGGTTTTATAATAAGTATAACTCGATATGAGTTGCCCCTTTCATTCTCGCGATAGCGATACCTCTTAATCGTGTTTTCAAAATGATTTCGTGCAAAAATAATTGTGTTTTTCCAATTTTTGGCGCCTAGAGAACCACCGCAAGGTAATTTTACGTAGTCCTGTGAAGTTTTGTTAAAATCGGTTGAAAAATGTAGGAAATCCGATCCAATATATAAACGAACAGACAAACACACACACACAACCTAGGTTTTATAATAAGTATGATTTACCATATAATGTGCATTCCCCCTGTCTTTTCTACAAATATTTTCATGGAAACTGTTCTACTTTCACTGGTACCCCAACTGCTCCTAGGTCGGCATCTCAGTCCCACCCTTTCACAGTCGAAACGGTTAAATGTAACCGTCTCTTCTACTCCAACGGCTTCTTCTCTCGCATTTCCCGTCAGTGGAACTCTCTTCCTATTACTTGCTTCCCTGATAGCTATAATCTTCAAATATTCAAATATAATATCAATCGATATTTTCTGATGCTTTGATCCTGATCCCCGTTCTTCTCTTTATCCTTTCCTCAAACACCCCCTCTTTACTCTTGTTCCCACTCTCTGTAACCCCTTGCGTGCTAGTGGCACTCCTGCCTTGTTTAGGGTCAAATGCTTAAAAAAAATACATAAGCAATTGATTTACCGATGTACAGCTACACAAGTACAATACCAAAATAATTGTAAAATCAAATAGTAAAAATCCGTGAAACAATACTCATACAACACAATTAAACATCTCTAAATAAAAAAAATTATTATTTAGAAGTCTCCATCCTCAAATGAATATAAAGCACACACACACACACACACACACACACACACACACACACACACACACACACACACACACACACACACACCACACCACACATGCCCTCCGTCACAGCACTCACCGTTTATCTCTGATGATGACCTAAAGAAGCCGAAATATTGAACCATATTTCTTTCGAAATTAACATAGGACAATTTCGGAAGGAATTTCCTCCTTGTCCGACATTCGTAATTTTGAAAAGTCAGTCATTAAAAATTAATCAAACAAAATTCTATCATCTTTAATACACACACACACACACACACACACATATATATATATACATATATATATGTATATATATATTTATATATATATATATATATATATATATATATATATATATATATATATATATATATATATATATATATATATATAGATAGATAGATAGATGTAGTATAGATATAAGATCAAAAATATTACAAACACTAACCTTTTACGCTATTATAAACCCTGATTGTAAATAAAGTTTTATTTTATATATATATATATATATATATATATATATATATATATATATATATATATATATATATATATATAAGGAAGAGGTATAGTAGTTCCAACGAGAGAAAATGTGTGTATAAGGAAAAAGAAGAGAGAAACTGCAAACATTTTTAGTTGTAATGTTGATTTTTAAAAATATTATGCTTTATTTTCCATAATTTCTTGACCGTCATCAGGAAAGGGTAGAGATTTCCATATTATTATTAAAAATATATATATATATATATATATATATATATATATATATATATATATATATATATATATATACAGATTGTTAGGGAAGGAGAAGAGATTGATAAAATAGATAGATAGTAACAAATCTGAGTTAGATAAAAGTATAGATATGAATACCGTGTCATCGATAGACAGATAGATAGATAGATAGATAGATAGATAGATATGAACAACCTACGATATATAGGTAGGCAGTTGAATAAAAGGCTGATATCGATAGAAAGGTAGATACAGAGAGAGAGAGAGAGAGAGAGAGAAAGAAAGAGAGAAAAGGAAGGAGAGAGAGAGAGACGTATAGTGAGTAAGATACAAGAAGAAAAGAGAGATCTTGGTGTGTACAATCTACTGAGACAATTTTTATGTAACGTGAAATCTAATAAGAAAGGCGTTTCGAATTCATCGACTCTATCCACCGCCACCACATTCGCATAAAGGGAAAGTCCTAGAAATTGAACCGAGAGTGAAGGCTAATGGTAGAATTAAATCTTGAAGGAAATCCGAACAATAATGATTCCATATGGGACCAACATGGATTGGGCCTCTCCAACCATTTGCCATTTTTGCTATCTGGGGTCGTGTTTATTGTAGGGGCGGTGGTTCGCTGTTGTTGCCAACGGTGAGGGAGGTACAGGCAGCGGTGTTAGTCGTGTCGGCGTCGTGAGAATGACCGTGTTTTCCTCTGGCACCAACCGCCACGTCTCTTAACTTTTGGTCGGCAAGAAAAACACTTAGACAGGTCAGCTCCAAAGACGCGATGTTGTGTTCTGCTTTCACCAGCTGAGGCACACTCATTTCGGCTTTGTATTGAACGTTTGTAATTAGGCCGGGTTGAGGGGTGGTAGATGGAGGAACATTGTCGTGTGGATAAGAGAGGATGGTGTGGATTTTAGGGTACCAGTCTGTGGGTCACCCGGCCTTGAGGGGAAGAGAGATAATTTGGTACTTTTCAAATGCGTTTTTTTTTTGTTTTTTGTTTTGCTTTACATTTTTTTTTCCTTAATGATTGATTCTTTAAGTGTACTATTGCGCCTATGTCATTGATCGCAGTTAATTCGCGCATAAATGTATTTTCATATGGGCCGAGAAAGAGTGAGTAAGCGGGCGATAAAAACTGTGTGTGAGAGAGAGAGGGAGAGAGAGAGGTAGAAAGAGAGGAGGGTGAGAGTGAGAGAAAGAGGTAACAGATAACAACAGGAGAGAAAGAGAGAGTTGAAATGTGCGGTAAAAGATAGGGAAATATTATAGCGAGATATAAATACGGATAGGGAAAAATGAACTCAGAGAGAGAAAGAAATAGAGAGAGAGAGAGAGAGAGGAGTGAAAGAGATAAATAAAGGTAGACAGAGAAATAGAAAGAGTGAGTGAGTGTGTGAAAGAGAAAGATAGAGAGAAAGTGAAATAGATTAAGATACATAGATAGACAGTATCAGAGACAGATGTATTAGGATAGATAGATAGATAGATAGATAGATAGATAGATAGATAGATAGATAGATAGATAGATAGATAGATATGAACAGACCGATAGATAGATAGATAGATAGATAGATAGATAGATAGATAGATAGATAGATATGAACAGACTAGGATAGATAGATAGATAGATAGATAGATCTATGCAAGTAGAGACAGATATATTAGGAGAGATTGTATGATAAACAGAGATAGATAGGAGCAGAGAGAGAGAGAGAGAGA